AGGTCTCGCAAACAATCTTCCTTCTCTATCACTCTTCTTTGGTGTTATTATATTATATTCTTTTTGGAATTTCAATAAATGCAATCTATGTCGTCAACCAAATTGCATACCAAGTGGATTAATAATATTTATTTCGATTTTTCTCCAATTAAATTATGAGTTTGCAAGTTGATTACATTTACTTTGAGAATGATGATATATTTGCTTTTGTTTTGTTCCCTGCTACAGTAGTGATGATGCTAAAATATAGCTCACCTAGGGGAATGTAGAAAACGAGCGGGGGGAAAGGGAGCTGATCAGTAGCTAGTCGGGGGCGATGCTCCTGAGGTCCCTACAAAATGAGCACACGTGAACTAAGCCGGGGGTTGATCCGGCGGAAACCCCACGACGCTCAAGTCAGATGTACGGATCGTAGAGAGAGTAGAGAGAATAAAACTCGAGGTGAATTGTCAATAATGAGAACGTACCTTAATCAATGAATAAAACATCTATTTATATGTTGTTAAATGGGTTGGGCTTCCTTTGTTGGGCCCAAGCCTTACTTTGAAGGAGCTTGGGCTTTCGTGTAATGGGCCCACTCGTATATGTTTGGGCTTTCATGTAGTGGGCCTAATTAGTAGATAAATTTGAGGGCCCGTTGGGCCGGCCCATTTAGGTATATCATTAAGCCCCCCAACTCTCGATTCGAGATGGGGACTTGTGTAGAGGGATCCGGGTCGTGTCGAGAGTTAATTGCGTCGTTGATTGAATTGTTTCCGTTGGCGGTGAATTAATTTCCTTAATTTAAATAAGGGATAATTGTATTTATTTGGCAGTGAGGTATATATTTAAAGGATTTAAATATTATACCAGGGCCAGATAAATAATCTCTTTTTGCGGTGGAAAGAATTTAACTTCAACTCTTGCGTAATAAATATGGGTATGTATTTTTAACTCGAGGTCTTTTCCTGTGCTATTTTTCTCTTGAAAATTTTTTATTTGCGGTAGGGTAGAAATTTTTTGTTTCTTGATTATTTCTTCGGGGAGAAAATCTTCTCATGTCGAACTCGGGTAATTCGAAATCTTTGCGAATTAAACTTCGAGATCCGGTTGAAGGGGGCAAGAAAACTTTTGGTACGGTGGGCTTGGACCGCGGGAATCTTGTGGTGTCGAGTGCGAAAAACGGATCTACATCCGGAGGTGTGCGAAATTCCGTGCAGATGGGAGTTGGGTCTGCGGCTGAGAAGGAGGGGACCAGCGCACGTGGTCCAATGGGGGGAAGCCACGTGCGCACGGCTGGTACCGAGGTAGAGCCACGCGCGCGCGCGTCGGGTGCTGGAGTTGAGAGACGCGCGCGCGCGGAAATTAATGTGCAGCAGGTGGGGCGCGCATCCCAAGCGACGCGCGCGCGCGTCGGAAAGGCGGATTGATGCAGACGCGCGGGGTCCGGCGATTGGGGAGGCGCCACGTGGCTCTGGGCAGGCAGTTGGTGTGCGCGCGCGTGGATCCGCCCCTTTTGGGGCCACGCGCGCGCGTGAGGGCGCGTTAGATGCCGGTTCTGAGCCCGGTTCGGGCGAAATTGACGGGCAAATTTCCGAGGGTGCTGATTCGCGTGTTTTTTTTAACGGGGGAAGTGTTGGTCGGCGAGAAATTATTGAATCGTGGAGTGACGATGTAGAAGTGCGTAACAATATTAATATTTGCCCTACTGTTGATGAAGCGAATTCCAGTGGACGTCGCTATGGGCATCGAGTCGTGGATTTTGGGAGCGATAGTGATGATTCGAATCAAGCTCCTTTGGCGAGTGATGAAGCCGTGTTAAGTAGTGAAGTTGAGGTGACGGATGAAGAGGAGGAGGAAGATGATATTCCGCCAGGTGATATTGAGATTGATAAGAGGAAGCAAAAGAAAATTAAGCCAATTAATTTGGACTTAGTTGATTTTGATAGTGTGTTGACGGAAGAGCACCTGCACTCTATTCGTCGTTTATCTGGAGCGCCAAGTAACGTTGAGTTGTTGTTGCCTCAGAAGGGTGACCGTTTGTATTCGCCCCCCCCACCCCCCCTCATACGGTGTTTTTGGGTTACTTGACATGTACATCTCAGATTACACCGCATCCGACCTTGTTGAAGGTCTGCGAGGAATTCAAGATTGGGTATAGTCAGCTAACGCCCAGTGCTGTTCTGATGTTCCAGGCGTTTCATTTTAGGGTGGTTCGAGTTGGTCTGCCCTGTGTCTGTGAGTTTATTTAAGGCGTTATTTACGTTACATCGGGCCAATAAGATGCCTTTTCTTTTGGTTTCATCCTCGCGTTC